CCCCCCCCCCCCCCCCCGCTACTATTCTCAAAAAACAGCCTAAATTTCTCAAAATCATATTGTATCACATGACTCTAACTCTTGCAATAAAAGCTAAAGTAGCCAATTTAAGCCGTGCCAATGGACTCACCCAAACAACTTGTAATTAGGTCCTTGCTGAATTTTCCAAATAAAAGCCCAATAACTGGGTCTATTTGGCCTGGCTTGATTAGCCCTAACGGACTAGGCAAGGCTACTAAAAGAAAATGTCTGCTGGCTCAGATTTTCTTTTAAATTTGTAGTATGGCATCAACTTTCTTTCAAGTGGTTCGTGTAATTTTTCCTTTGGTCTCAGTATAATAAGTAGTTACACTAAACATGTTTAGTTATTTCATTTTTTGAAAACAGAATAAGTTCTCAAAACCAAACATATTTCTAAATCTAATAAATTTTAAAATAAAAAACTGCTTTTAGAAAATAAAAATAAAAAACAAAAATAGAAAATATTTTCATAAACCAAACAAACCCATAAATGTTACTATTACAACATATTTAACGTGAAGCAGGTCAATACGTGTTTATTCTTTCCATTTTAGACCAGATGTGTTTAAAGTATGAAAATACCAATTTTTTATTAACTTTTTGAAAAAAAATTATAAAAAAAAGCTTATTTAAAGAAAAATAATTGGTTTTTTTTTTGAAAAATTTATATTTTTTTGAAATTAATCTATACAAGGATAGCTGAAGAAGAAGAAAAAAACGGTAGACAAATATGAGGCAATTTCTGTATCATTGACGTTCTTTGCACTGAAAACATTCCAAGAGGTCACCTCAATTTAATTCACAACGTGCCCGACACAAGAATCTCCTTTCACTGATAATCTAATCATAGAACAAGTGAAACCATCTATAGATAATTTTCAGGGTACATCTAAAGAGCCACAATAACAAGGTACCCTTTAACAAAGGATTGTAAATGGAATGTCATTCAGATCCAAACTAAATAGAAACCCAGCCCAGGCGGCTTAAAAGCTAATCCATCCTTCCCTTCAAAATCCTTTCCGTTACTTCAGTTGGCGTGCTGCAGAAGACAAATTAACACACCAATAAGCCCTTTTAATAATACATTGTGACTAGGCATAGAATGAAAAAGTCCAAATTTCCAAGGAAGAAATATAATAATAAAAGTAAAACAAAAGATTTAATTAATCTTTTGATCCCTATACTTACACCTAAAAGAGTTATAAGTTTTAGTTCCTACACAAACATTTTGTGGCCGAATTACACCCCGCCAAAAACTAAAAGGAACTAAAACATAAAAATAAAAAAAATAAAAAAATAACTCATAAGAACTAAAAACAGAGAACTTTTAGGTATAGAAACTAGAAGAAAAATTTGACGCAAGTATAGGAATCAAAAGATTAATTAAAAGAGGAAGGAGAACAAACATCTTCAGGAATAAATAGAGTATTATTTCTCTTTCAACATCTTCAGGTCTAGTGGACTTCCCCACTCAGGATTTGTTTTCATCATGTCTTGTCAAAATTAATTTTCACAACATCTGACAAGTGGCTTCTATGATGGACAAGTACATATAAAGTAAACGTAGGACAGTTCATGTGCTTTGCTCGGAAATTGATAACAGCATGTAGAAGTATTAAGACCAAACCACTAAAAGAATCAGAATTTGTAAGCTTACACAACATAGACATGTCCTCCCCAGCCACTTAAACAATCCCGATCAACAGATGATTGCAGCGCTTGGGAGATGGTCTCAAACAATTCCTCTGGTTCCTGTGTCAAGATTACAGACCAAACAGAAAAAAAAAATATAAGCCATGTCCCCTTAACAAACATTGAGAAACTATGCTTAAAAATCTTTGAAGTTGGATCACAAGTATGACAGTGGAAAATTTTGATGCTAAAATCAGACAGCAAAATCAAGGAACTATTAAAGCTTTAATGGCCTTTTCTCTTTGAATCCCTTTGGCTAACTATTAGGACCCCAAATGTGAAGAGGGATCCAAGTGAGCTGTATCACAACAGCTACCCAAGCCCAATCGGTGGCTGGCTTATGTATTTTTAACACGTCAACCAAACTTCCATTGCACTAATGCTGCATTTGATAACTACTTGAAAATTAACCTCATATGTGTCTGCATATGCAATAGCCTTTTATTATATATTTATACAAACTTTCTCTCCCAAACAAAATATCACCGTGAATTCACTTGCATTATGATTAATCAAACTTATTAGGCTTTAAAACTTATGATGCTTTGATTATTCATCTATACCGTCACAATTAAGCTTAGTCTACAAGAATGGTGCAACATAATGTCTGCAATAGTACCCATAAATGGATTGTGTTCTGGGTCGATTGCAAGAAATTATCCATGTTAAAGTATTGTAGAACATGACTAGTTCAATTTGCAAAACCACAAAACACAAAAGAAGTTAATCTTTGTAACCAACCATGTCAGGCTTAAACATCGCCTCACAAGCACCATATAGCGACTCAGATGCAGTGCCAGAAACAACAAAATCTTTTGCAAGCTCCCTGCATACAAGAAAATAGCAAGATAAAGAATTACATACATCCAACTCATATGACAATATACAACTTACAGGTTATTTAATTTAAGGGAACAACAATCTTGCATAAAAGGCACCATCGAAACTACATAAATCTAGAACATTTTCAGATTAGAGGATACAAAAGTAGGCATGTAAGAGAGGGGGAGAGACAGAATATAATGGAGGATAGGGAATCCTTCTAAGCAAACTAATAAAACAGATAGCAGCAAAGAAAATAAAAATGTAGCAAAGCTGCTATTTTAACATAGGTTAGTGAAACCGGATAAAAAAGGCAATTTTCTTTTCATGAAACATGCACCAACACTTGATCTTATCTTAAATGAAATTTTGTGTCAAAGAAACCTACTTTAAAATGTGGAGAAGAGAATTTCTGTTCCAACAAAACACAGCAACATGTATCAGTATTACATATTTACGAGGATACATATTTCTTATCTTCTAGTTTCACAAATTTGGTCTATCTCCATCACTTTTTAAACCATGTTTTGTCAAACTCCAACTTGCTTTTATCTTTAATTAATCCCACATTTAATTTTTTTACTTGTTGAAGATTTGAAGAACAAACATTTCTAAGATTAGTTCTCATGTCTGATCTCCAAGTAGCTGGAATTAACAGAGGTCTGAAAAATTGTTCAAATATGTAGACCATGTTGTACCCCACAGCATCAGACTTTTCAGCAAAATGCAAAGAAAAAACCATTGCTCAGAATTGTATATGGCGCATACATATCACTAAAATGGCATTATACATTAATACTACACATTGCTCACGTTGCTAACATGTGCAAGTTGTAACACATACTGACTTCCCTCAACAAGAAAATATGGGCTAGAATAATTCAACTTACTTTGCTCCAATACAATCCATTGTGCAAATAAATGGTTTATCTCCGTCCCCTAGTCCAGCAATTACAGGCTGGCAAAAATATGGACCAAACCTGAAAAGCAAAAGAATGCAAACTTTGTTTTCAGTGTTTCAAATTAGAGTTAATTCACATAACATGAAAAATCTAAATCTTATAGTTTACTATGATTTGTTGTAACCAGGTATCTAAACAAGTAAAAGGGAGTCAAAAATAAATACAAAATTTAACATGGATCAACTTCAACCTACAATGAGCTATTGGTCGTCAGCATGAAAATTGTGAATTCCTAAGCTAATTTTTGAGTTGTGAACTGTACACAATATCATATCAGATCAAATTTTGAGATATATAAATACAAACACATACACATGTATGTGTGTGTGTATAGACAGACATATATATGTATGAATGTACATACGTATATACACTCATAGTTTCAAACTAGGAATTGAAAACAAAACAATTTAATCACAAGACTCAAAACAAAATCATAAGTTTCCCGATCATGTTTGCCCTCCACCATTAGAATGGTGAGGATCAATGAATTTCCAAAAGAGTACCATGCAGGATGCCCTCCACCATCAGAATGGTGGGTAACAGTTTACAGTTTCCCATCAGGGAGATCCAAACCACAATGCAACCAAAACTTTCTCACCATAAGCTGAGTTAAAAAAGACAATTAGTCAAACCATGTTTAAAATAAATTTTCACATAACACTGATAACTTAGTTTCATTTCAATTACAAAAACTCTATTAAAGTTAAGCTGCAAAAACAAATTAATAAGACCTCTACATGTTATGCAATGAAAAATCTTATCTAGAGTCTAGACTAATATTATCATAACTCTGGACTCAGTTACTTTTTTGACATGTGTTAGGCTAAGTTTGACCTAATTTTTTTTTTTTTTTTAGTTTAAAAGTTATTTAAAGTTTAAAATAAGAGCTTTAAAATAGAGTAGAAGTTCTACCTGGGGTGGTTGTGAGTTCTTAGATTTTAGTTTTCAAATGCAATTTAAAAAAAAAAACATGTTTGGCTAAAATGGAGCTGAAATGATTTTTAACTCAGTTTCAAAACACTTTTATATTCATTTTCAAAACCAAGAAAAAAAGGATGTGTAAATTTGGTTTTTAGTTTAAAAAAGAAATCTCGTTGCATTTGGAAATAACCCTTCCCATTAGTGCTGCCACCACCACCATCATCCTTGTCGCCATTCTATTGCACAAACACACTTTAACTAGTTTTATCAGGATAAGGAACTTTTAAAAGTGGTTTTATTTTGAAACTAAAATTAGAAGGAGAAAAATCAAAAACTAAAAATTGGTTGCAGTTTTTGAAAATTTTGAAACTTACAACTAAAAAAATCCCCAAAGGCCCTAACTTCAGCAATTTTAGATTTAAATCCCCCACCCACCTACCTCCTTTCTTTTACAAAAATTAAACTCCTTCAGAGCTTTTATCCAAATGTTTGCCCCAACTTCTCCTTTTAAGAAGAAAAGCCCAAAAAAAAAAACAAGATGAGCCAAACACTGCCTTAGTAAGCTCATGTAAGAAAATGTACTCGAGTACACAAATTACAAACCAGATTCCACCACTATGTACAGTCCTGCTTCTTATTTAGTTATTTATTTAAGACCAAAATCTAGCTCATTATCCAGCCAAGTCAAGTCACAAGAAAATTCATAATAAACTGTTTTGTTCATAAAAATTTAAACAGGAAGGATGACGGAAAAATGGAAAAACATGTAGAGTAACCAACTCCGGAATGCCATATGCATATTTTATATTCAAAACAAGGACACTAAACTTCCTCGTAATATGTTCTGTTTTTAAAGGGAACAAGAAAAATGGGAAGGGGTATGTAAAGGACTGAAGTAAGCAACAAACAAAAGGGAATAATTAAGCTCCTAAGAAAAGTAGGTATTTCTACATACAGGTATTTTGCAAAAGAAACTCTCAAGTCTCAGCTAAGTTCCGAAAGGAATATTTATTAGAAAAACACTAACAATACACTCCTTAACAACTGTAGCTAAGTTTAATATGACATTTTCACTAACTAGGACACTAATGAGTGAGCTCTGTGTGACAGATTAAGTAATAGGTAAATTTTGTTTGACAGATTCACTAATGACTTTAGTGCCAAGAGACTAATTTATATATATATATATATATATATATATATATATATATATATATATATATAAAAATGATATTTGTAGCTCATAAACGCTTTGCTTTACGAAATATTCCAAAAATTAGACTCGATCGATCACTGAATTAGTAAAAATTCTAAAATTAAATGTATTCAAAGATTAAAAATTTAATAGTAAAAATAAATAACATAGTACATTTCATACACCTTATATATATATGAACCTTTATTTATTTAAAAATTAAAAGGAAAAACAGATCAAACCAATTTTCTACCTCAGTTTTTATTAGTTTTTTTTTCGTATTATTTCTGATTCAGTCCAACAAATTATTGTAAATATTTTTATATTCCACCTATTTTTTATATATTATTTATAGACTAATCACATAATTACAGTTCACCAACCTTTTGGCAGAAAGACAGTCAAATCAATTTATTCATATATGTTTAAGGAGAATTCAGCTTTGAAACTAGGTATTTTTTGAATTTTTTTTTGGGTATGGCAGCATTTTTTCTTGCAATCGAGAGAGTTGAATTGTTTTAATATGGAAATAAACTAAAACTAATTAGTAGTCACTTTATTTATTTTATTAATTAATTTTTCATCTCTTATAAACTATATATATATATATATATATATATATATTTAACACTATAAAATCAATTTTAAATTTGGGGGGAAAAAAAACAAATTTACCCCATAAAAAAGTGTCTAACCCCAGCGAGCTATTGAAAGCAAACCGTGAATCATATACAGAAAAAATCACTGTATAAACAAGGGCATCAATCAATTTATTCAAAACTCACTAGCAACAACCCATAATCAAATTTCATTCACACGACTTCACTAGGCAAACCCCATTTTAAACCACAGCAAAAAAGTAAAACATTCAACACATATTCCTTGAAAAGAGAGATTTTTCCCCCTCAGATCTGAATGGCATTACCTTTTCTCGTAGAGCAGAGCAGAGACCAAGCTGGCAAAGGTCTCCGGTTTCATATCCCTCTCTTCGCGAAGCTGATACAGTTTGTGGCGGAAAACGAGACGCTGATACCTGAACGGAAAGAAAGAAAGCCAATTAAAAAAAATTGAAAATTGAAAATTGAAAATTGGGAAGGAAAAAGAAGAGCAAAGGGTAGGCACAGTGTTTGCGCATCGGTGGCGAGGCCAGAGAGAGCGATGAAGAGCTTATCGTGAATCTTGAAAATGCGTTGAAAATCGGTGGCTATGGTTTGGAGCTGAACGCCGAGCCTTCGGTCGCTGGCAATGGCGAAGCAGTTCTTGCCGACCATGGCCACGACGGCACTTCCGTTGTACTCGAAGATCGACATGTTTATGCTTTCAATTTGATCGCACAAGCAGATTCAAGGGTTAGTTAAGTCGTGAAATGAAATTTTGTATTTAAGAGCATCCTAGTTTTCTTTGTGGTTAAGCCACCAAATATAAATATATTAAATTCCTTCTTTTATTTCCAAGCTTACAATTTTCTTTCATCTAATATTTAATTTGCAATTTTTTTAAATTTTATAAAATAACATGATAGTTATTATTTAATAATATGTAAGTTAAATTATATTTTTAATTATTATTTTTTTATCTTATTTTATAACTATTATGTGATAAATTAAAACTAAAAATAAATTAACTTAAATATTATTAATGTTAATTGTTGTATTATCTATTTAGTGTTAATTTATAACCTACGTTACAAATATTTTTCAAAAATGGGTTCTAGTAGGGTTTCTACGGGATTCCCATGGAGGGTTCTATGAAGGAGGAGGATTTGCTTCTTCATAGTATTAGAAAAGTGAAACGTAAGCTTAATGTAAATTTGGATAAGCCTTTATTACCTAAGGTTATTGATAGGGGCTAATTGTTAAATATTTAGCATGAGGGACTACATTCTTTGTGTTTTTTATATGGAGGATATGTGCAAAAGGAAATTGTATGTGGGTTGAAGGTTGATGGTCCCCCTTGCATGGTGTTAAAAACATAGTGAATCCTAATTGATGAGAAGGGATCCATTAGAGACAATGACTCATTAGCTGCTGGAAATGTAATAGAAAATTCAAATTTTGAAAATAAATCTCCAAGTAAGGCACAAATTTTTTTGAATTTGGCAACTAATGTAGTAGAGATTACAAAGTAGGTTCATGAGAATGCAATTAGACCTTGGATGCTGGTTTATCGCAAGTAGAAACATCCCATGAAAAAAGGGTTGTTGACAAATGGGGACCTTGGCATGCTAAAAACAGTTTCAGATAGACGATCCTATTCACAAAGGATGTACCAAGTCTTCAAGTCAAGGAAAAGTTAAAATAGGGGTCTCGGTTGGGCCAACCCCATTGCCCCTAGCATACTCCTCTAGGCCCAAAAATATTGTTCTGTTAAGTAGTATGGGCAAATGATAGTATATGAGTACTTGCCTTGATTTCGAGGATCAATCCTTTCCATAAAGACTATCTCCAATAACCTTCATCCAAACTATACAGTCTGGAAAAAGTTTAATTCCAATCTTGGAGGATGTGACTAAATCTGTCTGATAAGTTTTTCCATCTACAGCTATAAATTTATGAACTTGAGTTGTCCATAACTTCGAGGTTAATACTGCAGGATTGAGCATTGTTCTGGATGCACCAGTATCAATGAATGCAATGACTTTGATAAGCACATGATATTTTGTTGGCAAGATGAGTGCTTCAACATTTGGTAATAATGAAATTTCTTTTTCCTTTTGAAAACATACCTCTTCTATTTTCAACCCTAAACCCTAAACCCTAAACCCTAAACCCTAAACCCTAAACCCTAATAACATTATCTTTTCCTTTGATATGTTTGACTGTAAAATCATACTTGAAAAACCATTCTTTTAGCCTGAGTATTTGTGCATTGGGAGGAACCCTATTTTTGAATTCTAACATTCGTGAAAATGCAAAATTATCTAGTTTGATTTCAAACTGATGTCCTCTGAGATGGAAGTAAAATTTTTGAATTCCATATTTGACTGCTAGAGTTTCTTTAAAGATGGTGTGGTAATGAAGTTCTGAATCTTTAAACTTTCCACTAGCAAATCCACAGAAAAACTGTTGTCTTTGGACATCTTCAATCAGAATTGCACTCCAATAATGGTCACTTGCATCTGTTTGCAAAATTCTTTTTCCTTCGCCAGGAATTTTTAGCGGAGGAGGATTTTGAGCAATTCTTTTCAAAAATTTTATTGCTTCTGTTTGGGTTGATCCCCATGGAGGGGGATTCCTTTTCAGTAGTTTTGACAATTGTGAAATGTGAGGAGCAATGTTGGGAATAAAATGTCTGACATAATTGATAATTCCCAAAAATTGTTGAACTTCTTTGACTGTCATATCTCTCTTTGGAAATTCTGGGAGTCTTTCTACAATGTGAGGTTGTGGACATATTTGCCATAAGCAAAATGCATACCAAGAAAATTAACCTCTTTAACTCCGATCTCAGATTTCTTCGATGAAAGCATCACTCCATACTGGTTACAGATTTGATAGAACTGTTGTAGGAGCTTCTTATGACTGTCTTCACTGGGAGAGAAGAGTAGTATATCATCTATATAGATCAAAGCACTATGCAAAATTGGTTCAAAGATTTGAACCATAGTTTTTTGAAACAATGAAGGAGCAACTTTTAGGCCAAATGGAAGGACTGTCCATTGGTAATGAGCATTTGGGATGCAGAAAGCTGTTTTTGGTCGATCTCTAGGATCTAGGCCAATCTGCCAAAATCCAGATTTAAGATCAAACTTTGAGAAATAGTATGCATCTTTTATGTAGGCATGAAGTGAATATATCTTTGGAAGAGGAAATTTGTCATCTTTTAGAAATATGTTCAAAGGTCTATAGTTGATGATGACAAGTCGCTTTTTGTTTCTGACTTGTTCAGCTCTTTTATTCACATAAAATGTCGTACATGCCCAACTTGAGTTAGTGGGCTCAATGAGTCCTTGTTTCAACAATTTTTGGCATTCTTCTTTGGTTGCTTGGTATTCACTTGGTGACATTCCAGGGTGACTAGCTTTGGTTGGATTGATATCCTCATTCATTTTGAAAGGAAGTTGAACAAAGAATTCTTTTCTTGTCCACAAAGGTTATGGATGTTTGAAAAGATCATGGCTATCAGCACATAATTTTTTGAGTTGATTTCCAATATCTTCAAATCCTTGAGGGATTTCTGCTAATGAAAACATATTTGAAGTTTTGCAAAAAGGCTTAAATTCTCTTCTATATTTTAATCCATGAGCAAGTATTTGTAACTTGGTGCTCTGGACTAAAACATCTCTACCAATGAGAATATCCTTTCCATAAAGACTATCTCCAATAACCTTCATCCAAACTATACAGTCTGGAAAAAGTTTAATTCCAATCTTGGAGGATGTGACTAAATCTGTCTGATAAGTTTTTCCATCTACAGCTATAAATTTATGAACTTGAGTTGTCCATAACTTTGAGGTTAATACTGCAGGATTGAGCATTGTTCTGGATGCACCAGTATCAATGAATGCAATGACTTTGATAAGCACATGATATTTTGTTGGCAAGATGAGTGCTTCAACATTTGGTAATAATGAAATTTCTTTTTCCTTTTGAAAACATACCTCTTCTATTTTCAACCCTAAACCCTAAACCCTAAACCCTAAACCCTAAACCCTAAACCCTACGCCCTAAACCCTAAACCCTAAACCCTAAACCCTAAACCCTAAACCCTAAACCCTCATCATCAGTGAAGTCAGATTGTTCCGAGGAGCCATCAGTATCTCCTTCTGAATGTGTGATGCCAAAAATTGTTGATTTGTCTGGACTCTCTTGTTCATCAAACAGAGATTCTACGTCTTCATCTTCTAATTTGAGTGTGCTTATCAGCTTTGTGGCCTTTTTCTTGTTAGGACAATTTTTTGAAAAGTGTCCTCTTTGTCCATAGATAAAACATCTGTTGTTAGAACCCTTTCCTCTGAAGGGTTTTCTTTTGAAGAATTTGAAATTTTTCCTTCCCTTTTTCTTGAAAGGTTTAAACTTCTTCTTCTTGCTGGATTTATTTTTGTAGTGGCAAGTGGAGTCCTTGCACTTGATTTGCAGATATCCCTTCTTGCATATTTGCTTGTACTTGGGTTGTTCGTCAATCATCTTTTTGAACATTCTCTACTGATTGCAGATTTTGTCCAAAGCAGCAATGCTAGTCTGATAAATTTCTCCCATAGTCATCTCGAGAACATCTTTATTTGATTGTTGCAATATTCACCACATTTCTTCTTGTAATTCTTCTGGAAGGGAACTGACATATGTATTTTTCAGACTGGCATCATTCATACCATTGAGCTGGTAAAATCTGTGGGACAATATTTGATAATGTCGATCAAGATCTTCTTTTTCTAAAGAGCAACATCTCATTTCAAAATATTCTCTTCGGACAATTTGATCAAGGAGAGTTGATTCTCCAAGGAAATGATATTGGAGTCCTCCAAGAAATTCATCAATGGAGGTTCTATGGAGATTATCTTGATTTACTTGTCCCAAACTCATGTACCACTCTTTCAAGGTACCTGTCATATTGGCACATAATTCTTCAATAACTTTATATTAGATCAAAAGAATTTTCTAAAGAAGTGTCTTCTATTATGGAGAAATTTTTCTCAGATTCTTCTTCTATATGTGAAATTTTTTTTGTATCATCTCCTTCTATTTTTATCATTAATGACTGAGTAGGAAGATCTTCTGTACATTCTGGGGAATTTTTTGATGAAGATGTTTCTACTTCAGTTTTCTTTGACGATGGTTCTGGTGAAGGTGTCTTTTCAGGAGATTTTGCCTTTCTTTTTTCTGCTCTACTCCAATCAAAAGGATTAGTGATAATTGATGTCTTCTTTGGTGGAAACAGAGGAGTAGACATGACTGGACCTGAACTAGTTCTTGGGAAAATTCTTGTTGGTCTAATATAGTATGGATCATCCTCTAAGATAGGAGGATGTTTCTTTTCTTCAACAAGCTAAACAAGCTCTTCATATTGTTCTTTAGCTTTATCTAGGCTTCGTTGTTTGTTGATAATATCCATACTAAGTTTATGGATTTCCTTGACCTCTGAAATTTCTTTCTCTAGTTGTCCAATCTTTGCCTTTAGTTCTTGATGGTAGGTCTGTAACTTGGTAGACAGAAGTTTGATGTCTTGATCCATAGATATATGCATCTTTTCTATCTTTTGATTTATTTCCTTTAGCCATGTATTTTGGGCTAAAGCGTTTTCTGTCAGCCAATTTAGAACTTCCTCTGCTTGAGAAAGAGCTTTCATCCTTCCATCAGTGGTGACTTCCGTCTTTGTCACAAAGGGCTTAATTTCTACTCTGGTTATTGGAGTAGTTCTTTTCTCCAGTGGTGGGAATTCTTCTTGAGAAGTCATCATGCAAAATTCTGTCC